GTGAGCCTCGATTTCTTCGATAACTATGGGTGTGATTTTTTTCATCTCCACATTAAATGTTGCCTCGAAACATTTAGCAACTTATAAGAAAATTTTATGTAACTAATGTTTGACATAAATATTTTTTTTTAATACCTACGCTATTATGTAGTCAACTAAATCATGGCACGTGCAAGGCACGTGCTTCTCACTGGTTTTGTTACAAAGATAACTTTATCCTTATGTTTAATTAAATGAAAAATCATTAATGGAAAAAATAAAAATAAAATTTTGAGTTTTTAATCTTTAGTAAAATTGTTCATTGGTAATTTGAATGCTAAAAAAGAAAGTATATCTTACGATAATAGAGTATTGTACATGTGGATCAACTAGAAGAGGTATGTATAAAAGTATTTTGCCTCGAGGATGAATCCTAGAATCCATCCATTTTTTGAGTTTTGAAAAGTGTTAGTTTATAAGAATAAGAATATTATCGTAGGTAGGGAATCCGTTAGAAGGTTGAGATTGAAATTACCATCATTTTAGTTCGAAGACCTACTTGCTACTTTTTCGTTAGGTTGAGGACCCCAACTGAAGCATAGATGCATGTGGAACTAATTAAGGTGTCACCATATTCACTAAAACAAAAACAAACATAGCAATCAAGATTCAAGAGTACTAATACAGCAAAACAAAGTACCATTTCTTGGCCTTTTTACATTCATCATTGCTACCTCTTTCCCTCCATTAATATGCATGTTCTAGAGAGAGACTGAAAGATGGATGGATGGATAGATGCATCATAGATAGATAGATAGATGTATGTAGAGAGAGAGGGAGGGAGGGAATCTTCATATTTTTAGCAAGCATTGAGATGGTAAGGAAAGGTATTCTTGTTTCTTGATTTTTGTTTCTTTTTCTGCCTTCTTCTCATCCACAAATTCCTCAGTGAAAGACATCCACCTTGCATGCACATCTTCTTTCTCTCTCCTAGTTCATTTATTTTTGTGTCCACTCTCTCTATTGTTTCTTTCACTTCAACCTGCAGTATTCATTTGCACAGAAACCATTAATACTGTGACATTTTGAACATTATTTAGGAAATATTGATGTTTATAGCATGTTTGGCTTTGCTTAAAAGCTAGAAACGGCGTTTTGACGGATTTTTTCAATCCTATGAAGAGACGTAATGTCCAAAAAAGAGTGTATTTTATTTTATTGCTTTTAAGTCAGACCAAACATGCTAGTATGTAAAATTCTTTAAAGAAGTGATGACCATCTAAGATCTTGAATAGTGGGTTTTTAATGACATGAACAAGTGATAAATTTGATTTTTAGATAATTAGTTTGTCGTATCAGGTAAAAATAAATAAATAAATAATCTTTCAAACAATGTGACCAAACATGGTATCAGAGTATTCAAACATTCTAGGATCATATGTCAAGACTACTCATTTATGAGAATTATGCACGACTCGAGCCTTCGAAAAACAATTGAATTAGGCCAGCATGTAGAAGAGTCGTGTTGATGACGAAAATTAAGATATATAGACATAACACCTCTCTTAACGATTTAAATTTTGAAATGAAACTGGCCCGACAAAGCAAAAACAGGGTAATACGGAAAAGAAATTATTGCTCTCACAATTTTCCTCGAGCAAGAAAGATTTTTGAGTGGAATACAGAGCAGAAAAAGGAGTGTGACCACAAGTACATATACTCAGCACATGCTGCTAGTCAGGGCTTAAGGGACCAATTAGTCCCCCACATATGAGAGCATTTTCGTATCATGCTAATGGGGCAATCTCCATTTTCTGCCTTTGAAAAAGCCCATAAATCGGGTTGAGAGAGAGATGGTGGGTCGGGGATAAGGCTTAGCTTGATATTTTTCGTGAATTTATTCCAAAATGATTGAGTTTAAGTCGCATAATTCGTGTAGAGTCCAAGTGATGGAGTATAGGAACATATTTATGTTTGTGTAATAATGAAAGAATAATTTAGCAATCATAAGATTGTGTGTAAGTGTTCCAATATAATAATGATGCAAACAGGACTTTAATGTGCTCTATTATGCAACATCAAGCAGTTCTGCTTTCTCGACCCGAGAAATGCGTTGTTGGAATCGGGTTGGAATGACAAGCAGTTCTAGATTCATATTGAGAAGATAGATACTATCTAAAATTTGAGAAAATGATGTAATAAAATTTGTGCTTAAAGAACTCACCTCTTTCTCTGGTTTTAATTTTTCACTTGAAATAGAAGAGTCTTCACCTTCTGCTTCACTGCGCTTTATTGATCTTTCTTCAATTGAAGGTGTACGCGCAGGACTTAGGCTGCCCGAGCTAAGGTCAGCCGGCGTGCTCTGAGTCCCCTTATCTCTAGTTGTGCTTATTTTCTTCTCCTCTGCAACGGCAAAAGAAAAATAAAAAGAATGGAAAAAGCTAAAATCTTGTTCATTACAACGACTAAGTATACTATATAAGCCTTAAAAGGAAAATGTATGAGACCTTGATTAGGAATTTGAACTTCATTTTCATGTTCTGCAATGGGAGACTTGGCGTCGAATTGCTGCAAGTGATTAGGATAAATGAGGGGAGCAGACATTGTAATTCTGCTGGTAAGGCTTCGAAAAGATCTTCCGCTGAGAGTTTTCGCAGATAAACACTCCAACGGAACTTCACCCGATAGAGGATTTGAAATGTACTTTTCTGCATCATTCCACTTGGAGTTGAGAACAAAGCCCTCGGGAGAAAGGTACTCCCATGTATACACAGTTTTTGCCTGCAATGCTGCACCAAAAACCAGCCACAAATGTCATAAAACTCGTACCCTCTTCGGATTTTGTTTATAATTTCACGAGAACTGGATAGCATTGGAAGGTGACAAGCATGTTTCCTTATGAGTCCTTACCTTTCAGGGCTGTGGTGAATGAATATGTAGAAGGGTCAATTTCCTCTGAAAAATCAAAAGAGAATAAAGTATGAAGAGAAAGCAATTAGGGAATAAAAATTATGTGTGGGCTTTTGGGGAAGAAGGATTGTATTACCTTTTAAGGTGTAGCCAGGAGAAGAAGCAGTACTAGAAATGGTAATATTTGATTTGATAGACCTTGTATCTTCTCTAAAACTTCTAATATTCGACGCCGAAAATCTTCTTGAACTCATATTATCACGGCTGATTCGAGCCTTGAGCCCCCATTCTTTCAAGTTGAATTCAGATTCATCATGCCTTCTTGAACCAAATGGGGATTGTTCCATGGTATTTGCCATGAAAAGCAATGAGTTTCTTCACTTTTTGCAACTTTCTTCAGGCTGCAACTTGCCAAATATAATTTTCGAAAAAATGCCACTGATTGAAAAATCAGCAAAGATGCTTGAGGAGTGACTTTTCAAAAAAAACTTACCAGAACAAGCCAAAAAAAATTCAAACTCGTATGATATTCTTTATTCTTTATCTTTTTCTTGTGCTGAAGCTAACATCAACTTAGCCACTGGACCATTTTCTATTGGCATATGCTGATGGGAATCATAGTAGAAATTTAAGCTAAAAACTTACTTTTTACACAGAAGTGGAATGAATTTTTTGAAATCAGGGTAAATATTTGGTGAGTGAATATTATTTATACTACTTTCTGCATACAATATTAGCTGCAGATGGACCCATTGATGGCTCAAGGATATGATTTTAAATGGCGCGACATTTAGTGGGACACCCTTTTTTTTGTTGTACAATTTCTTGAATTTGTTAGATGCAGTGAAAGGCCAGCTTGGGGTCCAGGATACATTGGAATTTTGATGCTAATGCAATTGGATTCCAACTATCAGGAAACATTGGAATTTTGATGCTAATGCAATTGGATTCCAACTATCAAACATGAAGTCCAGCTGTTTGTACAGGCCCAATTTGGGTTTTCGAAACAAAAGCTATTCGTGTATTGATTTAGAATTATGCTAAGTGTACATTCCATTGTGTACATTATGTTGTATTGTAAAAAATATTGAACTGAAAAGTGTGTTTTTTAAAACTGTCCAATCATGTATCGCTACGTGGCACGATTTTAAAAATAATGTAAGCAAAAATGTACATGTAGCATGATTGATTGATTAAACGGCAATATTTGGTACATTGTACTGGATAATATGATATATAAATTTTAATTTTTTTCGTTTTATTATTGTGCATTGCATTATAGTCTACGTAACAAGTAAACTATAATTGATTAGTTTTTTGTGGCTTGAAATAGTTGTTTTCATGTTGTGTTTCAAAATTTTCTTGAAAGTAGCACAAGAAACTTGCAAAAATTTCCACTCCAAATTATTGAAGGCCTGCAAATATCCCGTCTTTACTAAATTTTAGATAGGCAATGTTCAAAATACTCGATGGTTGTTGTGGAAAATTTACGATAGATTCTATAATTTTAAACGATGATGAAATATTTTTATAATAGTCACATCACGAAATACCTATGTAATTTACTCTAGTTAAAATTATTTGGTAACACTTCTTGTTACCTAAATTTACACTCAAATCCAATCTTGAATGGAGTAATATATTACTTCTATTGACTCAATTAATTTGGTCAATATCAGGATTTTCTAATTTTAAATAGTTAAATAAAGAGTTTTACTAAAGTGTCATTACTCCAATTGACTCGGTTAATCTGGTCAATATCAGGATTTTCTAATTTTAAATAATTAAAGAAAGAATTTTGCTAAACGTACACGGGAGTTGACACGGGACACTCCCGTGTACACAACCCCCTCGCAAGAGGGGGGCCCACAATTATTTGAATCACAGTGAGCCCCCCTCTTGTGAGGGGGGCGTATACACGGGAGTGTCAACCTCTTGTGAGGGGGCATGTATACGGGAGTGTCAACTCCCGTGTACATTTAGCATTTTTCTTAAAGAAGTGTGATTTCTCTCCATCCCTTAGGTTAAAATTTCATGACTCGATTTCAGATCACAAATTAGCAAAAGAATTTTAAGCTTGAGGATACTACATTTTACATAGACGCCCCTCCTTTTAAGAAAACTTAAAAACCTTCATTAAAGTTTATTTTTCGTAACAAAATCACCCCGATCATCAAAAAGAAAATATTTTTTTTTTTTCATTTTATCCTTAGCTTTATATTATTTTGATTTTGTTATGACATTATAAAATATATTTTTCTATCTTCTTACTGTATAAGATGTATACTTTTTATACTTTTGACTCGATAAGATCATAAGTTTTACTGAAAAGAAATATTATTATAATATTTAAAATTATATGATGGATTTATTTCTTAAAAAAGTTATATGTTTTGTAAGTACGATTAGCGAATAATTAAACTTCTTAAAATAATAAAATAAAGCTAATTATAAGTCCATCAATGTTTATACCGCTTGATTAAGTGGCATTTTCTCAAATTTCTAATTTTCTTAGTTTCCACATTTATCTATACTAAGTTTATAAAATTGAAGTAATATTATATTAATATTAAACGTGCAATAAATTTGGCATCAAATTTATAAAGCTAACGTTTCTTTTTATCCTAAGCTAAATATTTTGGATCATAATTGTTTATTTTTTCCTAATGAGAAATCAATTTTCACTAAAAATATCATTAAGATGAAATCTAAATTTAACTTAAAATTATTTTTTAATAAGTTTTGGCCAACATTATAATTAAGAAAAACGCAAACACCACATTTTAATTGCAATGAATGTCACGGCCTTTATTCATTGTTACACCTACATTCTCAACTTTTTTTCGTCACTTCTTATCATTAATCTTCAATTAATTGGAATATTTTGTCACTGATAACGATTTTTGTCCAACATTTTGTTACCATAATTTGAAATGAAATGCAAATATTTTTGTCAAAATTTTGTTTTAGTTCCCCTATTCTCTTTTCATTTTTTTGCTTATTTAAAAATATGAGAGGTAAATAATTCTTTTTATGCCTTTTTACAGAGTTTTGGACGAAAACATTCGCCAAAAACAAGATTTTCTAATTAATAGAAAGTTGATGAATAAGAACGCAACAAACAAAAAGTTATGATAACACAAGTACGATAATGAACAAAAATTTAGAACCTTCAATTATAATGTGCGACAATAAAATAATGTGCGACTCTTGTTCTTAATGATACCCAAAAATTATGCTAGATCGAGTGCATTATCATCATCGAATGCTTGCACGAAGTAAAAAGCTAATAAATCGCAATAGAATTGAGACCACTAAAAAGTAAAACTAGACTACTCTGAAAATTCAAATTATTAGAGGAATAAAACATCTTTTTGAAAAATATTTTACCACATAACAGATAAACGAAGGCATGGTAGTCGATAAAAAGTACAAATCAATGTTAGGTTATTTTCAATGTGTGTTGGAAAGATAGCTGATGAGATACAGAAAATTGTGGGTGGGCATAAATTTGCTGGATGAGAATGTTTGTGTGCATGTGCATGTCAAGTGGTGGGGTGGGGTGGCGTGGTGTGGGGGGGGGGGGTCATCATCATTATCATGACAAACTGACAATGTTTAGTTTTGTCTTAAATACAAGATTTGTATGTTTCATGGCAGAGGATAAGATTCAGATTTTTATGTCTATTTGCTGCACAATTAATCCTCAAAGTTTCATGTTTTGTATTTTCGTTTTATCTACTTGTTTCAAATTATTGGATTTTGGCGGGTAATGGCAAGCCAATTATGTTCTAAAGCATATTCGGAATTGTTTATGAACCGATAAAATAAAGAATAAATAGAAATGAATTATGGATAAATAAATAGAACCTGTTGATTCTATAAAATATGTAAATGCAAAATAATTTGATCGATTATAGACAGTAGCCATACAAGTTTTTAGATTACTCAAATTTTGTTAAAACTCCATATTGTCGTATTTGTTAAGTATATTTTAGGAAAGCTCTAGTTGTCAATAATTCCAACTACTTTCATAATGACCTTCAAGTTAACGAAGTCTAGGTCGAAGTTGAATCTGTCTGAAATAACATCTACCGAACAAAGACTTCGATGGGATAGAGACCTCGGATTATGTGATGTCCAATGCACCCAAGTAGGAAAAGACGTCTTAGGCGCATGTCTATTCTTTCACTACACGCTATGTAGCTAACATGTGCTATCAGTGCGTATGGACAATCAACCTTGAAACTATTTGACAATGCATAAATTACTCGCATATACTTTGAGTTTGTATAATCATTTACTTTGAGTTTGCATTTACCTTGAGTTTATTGGATTAATTTATACCTCAAGGACCACGTTCTCCAAGTCTATCAAAATCTTCTCCCACCTAGATTCATTGCTGACCACTAATAATTACAATAGCCTGGCTCATATGTACACCAAAATCCAGGGGACCAATCAAATCTCATGTACACATGCACACACACCACACACCCTTATACGTGGTGGTGTCAAAACGGATCAAGGTTGGGGCTATCTAGCCCAGCCCTGCTCACAGGTCTATCTTGCAGTTCGGAAAAGGAAAGAGGAAAGGCTGGTCCACGGTCGGTCTGAGCGTAGCCCGGGTTGTAATAGGCTTGAACTAACCCTCCCAGTCAGAGAGGTACGATCGAAGTCCAAATTGACACCAAATATATGTATCAAAGAACTCCAGTTTGATAATCTTTTCATAGGCAGGAAAACAAATATCCCTCACCACATTGAAAAATTCAATTTTGAGATTATCCACATGATCAATAACAAAGAGGCTAAAGAAAGTTATATTGCTTGATAAATTACACAGTAAACCAGGTAGTAACAATACCGAGCAAATTGATGTTCACACAAACCAGCCCGTGCCACAAAATATTGCAGCAAGGTTACACATTGGGACTTTCAGGCAGACATGCAAACGAGATCAATGAGAACTTAAAAATCTATATAAGCAGAAAAGCAGTACATCGGAGGAAAGTGTATAAAGCAGTGAACCAGCACACAGGGCTTCCAAATTACCACCAAGTTTCGTCCCAGCCAGGCCAAGGAACAGAAGAGGCTTCATAAGTCACTGAGTGAATCTTGGTCAGCAGTCTGACCATTCCATCCTCCAGATGACTGGATATCCTTAATAATTCTGCAGATAAACAGTCAACCTCGTGAGATTGCATCAATTTTAGAGAAAGATTGAAGACGAGACTCATGCAGGGAAACAGAAGTAAGGAAAATAAAGGAGGAATATATATCATATACCAATAAATATACAAGCTCCTTAACAAGAATCTGACATAATAGTGCTTCAGATACTTGG